CCTCCTCCTCCTCCTCCTCCTCCTCCTCCACCACCTCCAGCCCCTCCTCTTGGGGGAAACTCGTCGTTATCATCCTCCTCCACCAGCCTCTCTCTGTCAATCTTCCGGTTGCCGGAAATGACGCGCTTGACCTTTTCCTTGACCTTTTGGGGAAGTTCCGAGAGGCGGACCTCTTTGTTGTGGTGGTCGAAGCGGAACTGTGTTAGTGGAAGAGGACGAAAGAGTTAATAACGTTTGTCCATGGCAGGGAATGTAAGAGTTAAAAAACAGTGTGTGTGGTATGGAATGTAAGAGTTAAAGAACTGATTCTGTGGTTTGGAATGTAAGAGTTAAAAAACTGTCTCGGTGAGATGGAGTGTAAAAGTTAAAGAATTATGTCGATGGTATGGAATTTAGGAGTTAAAGAACTGTTTTTTGTTTTTGTAAAGTGTTTTACGGCGCTCGCAACTGCATAAGGTCATATGAGAGCGCAGGACACACCTAATATTTTCAGTTGGTAGGAAATTTTGAATTTTGCCCGGGTGGCGGCCGAAGCCTACTCTTATCGATTAAAGAACTGTGTCGGTGAGATGGAATGTAAGAGTTAAAGAACTGTGTCGGTGAGATAGAATGTAAGAGTTAAAGAATTGTATTAGTGGGATGGAAAGTAAGGTTAAAAATCTTTGTCTGTGGTATGAAATGTAAGAGCTAAAGAAAGAATTGTGTTGGTGGGAGTGGATGAAAGAGTTAAATAAAGACATGTGGCTGTGGCACGGAGTGTAAGAGCTAAGAAAAGAATTGTATCGCTGGGTAACGAAGGGTTAAAGAATTATGTCCAAGGTATGGGAAGGAACGGTTTTAAAGACACACAAACACAAAAAACTGTGTGAGTGGGAGGGGAAAACCCACCACCAACATTTTCTTCTAATAAATGAGACCATTAACATTATAAATAAAATAATGCCGCAGAGAGTGGTCTGTTGTTGGGTTTTTTTCAGTTAACCATTGAGAACAACACATAAACCTATTATTATTATT